AAAATGCCAAGAGCCGTCTGATTTAGTGCCTCTATTAGATTCATATATTTGAAAAAAATGAACAAATGTCATGAATTGATTTTTAAGAACTCAGACACCTCATTTGTTTCAGCTTTTAAAAATACCTTAGTCTAATGAAGGTAGTAACTCCTCTAGATCTGTAGCTAGCATGTGTCTTTGAAATCAGAGTGACCAAATGCAAAGCAAATGTTTGCAGCATTGTTGAGCTATTCCCAGTGACTTGCATTACAAAAGTGAGGAAAGCGAGTGATGTGTAAACAGGGAAATTAAACAAATACATTGGGGACAATGGAAGTGGAGATGTAATAAAAATGTTTTCCTCCTGTTTGCAAATCATGTACCTCCTGTTGGGTACTGCCAGGTCTGTGAGGGCTCTAATAGGCCTTAAGGGTCCTCACCAGGCTCTCCTCCTGAGACTCTCTGGGTCTTCAGCCTCTGCCTGAGCTCTGTAAAAGCTGTACCTGCCTCCAGCCCTGTCCCATCTACTGGATGGGACACCTGAGTCCTACATGACAGGTTGGACAATTCAACTGGTAACTGAACCAACTTTTTCCTTCAATAAAGTATCAAACACTTCTGATGCGAAAGCTAATATTCAAAAAGCTCAGAAATCAGTCCCCTTTCTAAACTGTGAATCTCTAGTCTCACATTCTCAGACTGTGGGGCAAAGCAGCTGAGGCACTCTCATACTTACAAACTGCTGTCTTGCAAAGGTGTAAAATCTACTTCTCCATGCTTACAGACAGCATTGCTGAAGTAAATTTTCATTTTAACCACCATAATTCAATTTCAGGCAGGACCTCTTCACATGCCCCTGAAGTTAACTCTACTCTGTTGTGTTTTCCACAATAAGAAGCTGAATTCTTACCTCATTTCATATAATTATGCAATAATTTATAGCAGAAGGGACCTCAAGGCCCTTTCAGGGCCAGCCAGGGGGAGATTCTAAGTTCCCAGAGTTTTACTATAATTTTATGTACTTTTACGCTGGCCATGTGCAGGGAGCTGTATGTGTGGGGGGAAAAAAGGCACCCTCAAAACCTAATGCTAAAATCAAAGGTGCTACTCTAACAAAAAATGCACAGACTGGAATTAAAGTCCTTATTAGCAATGACAGAGAGAAACAAGTCCAAGGTGGCTTTTGAAATGTAAAGCCTTTAGCTCATCTTTGCAATGATACACATAATTAAAGGCAGCTGCAGTTTCCCAGGTATGTTGTCTCATACCTGCACTAGATGTCTAGTGCCCCTATGAAGGGCTGTTGTTAATGTCTTGCAACTTGTGATGAGTAACCAACAGATAGGCTTGCACATGAGCTCTTGGTGTAAAGCACCACGGCTTTAGCATGCACATAACTGCAGCTCATGAACAAAATGTTCATGAGCAATATGGTTAATACCAATCAACAGCCCTCCATCTACGGACACTGACAGGTAACACTTCTCTTAATTACAGAAAGAGATACCAGGAAGATAGTAGGTGCATATAAGTGAGAGTTGTAAAGGCGTAGAGATCTTCTGCAGAGAGAGACACATAATGCAGTCCGCTGTGTTCTACTGGCACAGCATGATGGCTCTTCAGAAGGACTTTGGGGCTACGGATTAAAAAGTGAACCGTACCTTCAGTGTTGCTGACTTCCTTTCAAACGAAAAAACAACACAGATTTACCCTACAAAATGCAGCATCAGCAGCTAAAGACTCATTTGAAAGACTGAGGTTATTCTCATGTTAAAAAAGCAACAACAAAAAAATCCCCCAAACTCAGTGCAGTACTTGTGTGGGGAAGAGGATTGGTTTGTTTATTCCGGGCAAAGAAGCAAAGGCAACGAAAGAGTCTGAAATGAATAAGATGTATCTATCTATATCTATAATACATATATCTACATGTAAAAAAATATATATATTATAGATTTATATAGATAGATATAGATATATTCACCATTGAGAAAATGTAACTTCAAGCATGTCCTTCTCCATGCATTGGAGACAGACTGCTGAACTGCTGTTTTTATGGCAGATGTTTCTTGAGCCATGCTGAATTTAACAAGAAAAACTTGAAGTCCTGAGGTGGCTTCTCTCAAATTGGTCATGGTGTTTAGGTTTTAACAACATTCATGAAACATCCAGTATTTGAGCATTCTCGCTATTACTGATGTCATTAAACATGTTTTTGTAGGGCCTTACTGAAGCTCTTACCTACATTTTAAGCAGTCACTAAATCTTGAGTAATTCCACCATTTTAAAAAAAAAAATTAAAAAATGGGCCATTGAAGTGAAGGACTTCATTAAGCTGCACTCTGAGTAAAGCACTTGCAGCCTGACCCTTCATTTCTTAGCATGACAAACTTTGGATACTAAAGAAGATGCTAATTGCACCCATTGAGTCAAATTACAAAAAATCTTTCATTATAACCTACTGGGCTTACAGTTTCTTCAAAACCTCCATTAAGAACCAAAATTTCCCATTTTTGGATTCTCTCCATAGATGATACTGATGGAAAAAAAACCCTGAGTGATGTTATTTTGTAGTTAAAGGAAATATTCAGGCTAAGACACAACATGGTACGTGAATACTCCTTATCACTTATAATTTCTACTAAATTTGTGAAATGAAATAAATGTACTCTAGTATGCCCCTAATGCAAATACTCAGAAAATTTTGCAAGAGCAAACTGGAAAATTCCACATTTCCCACCAAAGTTACTGTACTGTGTGTTTCACTACGTGCATTTCAGCATTTCCAGAGAAGTACTTCAGCATTTCAGTTAAATGCTTTTGTTAAAATTCTGACAGATTTTGAAGTGTGAAAATGTGTTAGAAGTGTTAGAAAGTGAAATGCATTCTTTTTTGGGTCAAGTGTCTTGTCTCATGTCAACCCCAACATTACGATTAAAGATCTTTTCATATTCAAAACCTGAAAATGTTATTTTGCTTCAGTCTGGTGATTTTTTTTTCCCCAAATGGTGCCCAAGCTGAAAAATACTTTTAATGGCATAATATTAAGACACAAACTGCTGTAATTCAGAGGCTCTGTAAAGATATTTACTGAGTATCTTTTCAGGACTATTGCACATACCATATCCTTCAGAGCTAGTTATTTTAAAAACATTGCAGAATAACCCCCCCCCAACTAGTTACATATAAATTAATACATAGATTATTAGGCTATTCATACTGTAGAGTCATGTTCTGTGCCTATAAAGAATACAAGCAATTAAAAAAAGTGTAGTTCAGAGAAATTAGTGATCATATATAAATAAACATCTTAAAGTCACAAGTTGTTAACAAAATTCATACTGCACGGTCCTGTTACAGCAAAGTCCTATTGCCACAGAAAATAACGAAGGCATAAACAAGACACCGAACAAAAGTAGACAGCAATTAAATTTGCATAAAAACACAGGGAAGGCAAAAATAATTACAAATAGGACAAAAAAACCCAACAAACCAACAATACTCCAAATAACTTGTCAAACATGGTGCAATTTTACATTCTTAAAAAATGAAAAGACACAATTACCTTCCCTTCCCTGAAACTATAGTGCGCTCTAGTGGTTACTCCAAAAATGGCTCCACTTGCTCCTTCCAGAAATCCCGTGGAGTCCATAGTCCTCTCTATAGCATCCAGATCACAAGAAAACCAATTTCCCAGATCTTATTCCGAGCAGGGAAGTATTTTGCCCTGCTATACATGCGAATTCCCCATTCATCCTTCTCTAGAAACCAGATAGCAATAGTCCCTCCAGGAAAATAAGCTGCTTTGCTTCCTCTGGGTCAATCGTCTCTTTTAATCTTCAGGGTACCTGCTAGACATGAGTGGACAGAGTTCCGCAGGAT